TATCACATGCAAACTGTGAAATAAATTGAACACAGCATATAAATTAAGTTTTATAACGAACTAGCTCTCGCAAACTATACAAGGTCCATCAAACACCTGACCAGTTCTACACGTGTCAATCATCATACAAACACGCAGCACATATCACCAGTGTCTGAAAATAATTTTTATCGGTCTTAAAATATTAACAATGCATTTACATGAATTCCAAATGACGAATTCAAGTGTTTAATGAATATATGGAATATTTAACGTAGGAATAGTCACTCTGCCTCTTCATAAATGGGTATATTTCTATCAAGACTACGTGAACATAAGTATAATCAAGGTTAAGAACTAACAATCAAAGTAACATTAATAAGAAGCTTAAGAATTTTATCGATAAGAGTTTTGTATTAGGATATTCGGGCTTCCGCTTAATCGCCAAATTTATTATTCTTAACACATTTTAAGTTCGTACTACGAATTATCACCCGATCCCTTTCACAGACTATTTTGATGGTTCCCCCCTATTAGAAGAATTCCGTTTTTAAAATTCCATATTCATTTGGTATGACTTTTGCACAAAGCTACAGGAGGGCTATCTGCGTTAGACGTCCCTAACTTAGTAATGAAGGACTAGATGGAAGGCAGCTTAGTCATCACCTCCCACCACCAGCTGTTATACCAACGAATAGTGGGATTGAACGAAATATTATAACGCCCTCACGGCTGAAAGGGCGAGCATGTTTCGTGGGTCGGAGGATTCGAACCGGCGACCCTAACCACCTGGCCATGACAAGCCGTCCATACTCGAAAAAAATAAACATAACTCCGACAAGGCAGTTCAATTATGTTTAAAAGTACTTAATTCCCATATTGAAGAATTCGCGATGATAAAAATTGACAAATTTAACACCGAAATTAAAATTAAAAGAATAGCTTAAGTTACTGGAGTTCAAACACCTCACAGGATCAAAGTAAAAGTAATATAACATAGATAGATAAATAATCTTTTAAATAATACAAAAGAGAGAAGGGTAAAATAATTAACTTTAAACCATTAAATAACTAGTCATAAAAACGCAAATGTTAAGATCAAGTTTATAAAATCGAAAGTATAATGTACCAACGAGACTAAAAAATGGGTAAATATATATATAGTTGCAAACCACTTAATTATTTGTTTATAAATTGAAGTTCACTGAAAATGTTGCCCATAACATTTATTTACGTTGAGCATAAACATTCAATTAAAATTTAATTAGTGTCACAAGTAATATAATTATTGAATATGAAATGTTATACTAGAAAGCAGGACCTGCGCGCGTGTACAGAAAGGTTTGAACCTTCTGCTAAGTTAACAGGTGTCTTATCCATCAACAAACCTGTGAACCTGCTTATACACGAGTTTGATGTTTGTTCGTTTAGCGCCAAACTCCATGGGTTGGAACTTTAATACTAAACATTCGACTTTAAATAACCACTTTTAAGTATTTCTATTTTCTAAAAATGTCCTTAAATTTTCCCTATTAAGAAATTAATATGATTATAATAACATTGGTCAATGTTCGACAGGTTTGTGCCTACCCACCCACTTCCATCGGTAAATTGACAAAATTGTTTTCTTACTTTTTAAACGAATTCAAGCGCTATACACATGCAATAAATAACAACCTTTTATACAGTTTAAAAAAAAACTAAAGCAAAACACAATCTGAAAGTTCAAGGCCAGTAATCCACGAATTCTTAAGCAATCCTGCTTCAATTCCCTTACTCAAGTTACTGTAGACCAACTTCTGTACTATCCAAGCTCAAAGTTAAGTTTTAATAAATGAACGTTTGAGCACTTGTAATTCTGGCATTTCCTTGTTTGTCTGGTGTGTTATATGCATACATAACGCTCTGAAGTTTCTTTTTATACTAACAAGTATACAGCGAGGTTATATTTTCGTAAGGAGTCATCTCTACTTCAGCTGTTGGTGACGCCGCTCATTACAACACAGTTTAGTGAAATAGTGAGAACAAACATTAGTAATTCAAGCTAGATACCGTTAAGCTTTAAAAAACTTGGTGAATAATTATATCTTGAAACAGCCTTAAATAAGCGAAAGCAGACGAACAAACGGAATTATAGCAAAAAACAGTTCGGATAAAAAGAAAAGGAAAACAGCTCTGAAGAAACACCTATGATCAAATTCAGGTTAATTTCAGTTTGTATTACAAGAATTCTGTAATTACCTATAAATTTAACACTGTTGCAACGTTGTTCTTTCGTTTGGTGCAAACAATTCCAATTCCAGATAACTATAACAAATTAGTTTTTATGCATCCGCAGAGAGAATGTTTTTCTGTTGTTTCTACTTTCTTTCTTCTTCCTACACTTTTCAATCGATCGCCATTCCTTCGTTTCTAGGAAGACTGATATAAAACGTGGTATGATTATACCTTGGTCCAACACACTCAGAGAACTTTCTCTTTTTTATTTAGGCCTTTTTAAGGATTTTATGGGGTCAAAGGTCAAAACCTAAAAAAAATCTATATCTTGAGTTTCTGTACGGTAATATTTATAACAATCGAGATGTAAATTGACACAAATATAAATTTAAGCTCCCAACACACTCACATACAAAAAAGTTGGATTTGCCCGTTTTGAGTCTTCCTTTTTTTGGGGTGGGTGGGTCAGAAGTCACCAAAAAAACAACAACATACACATACTTTTGTAATTTGTGGTCAATTACTCGGCCATATTTTGACTTATTGAAATGGGATTAACCCGATTTGGTACAAAGATACCTTTCTACAGGTCCCACACATTGACAAACGAAAATGGCGGACATGCCCATTTTCAGCAATTACAGTGTGGGATTGAAATACCACAAAAAAACATAATTTTAGCGTTCTTTGCCATTTACTCTGCTGTATATCGGCCAATTGACATTATATTTGGTACTAAGATACTTTTTTTTTTACAGGTCCCATATAAGGATATGCCCATTTCTGGTCATTTTAGGGGGGTCAAAAGATTAAATAAACCAATAATTTTAGGAGTTTAGGTCAATTACTTAGCCTTATTTCAACCACTTTACATAGTATTTGGTACAAAGATACTCTTTGCAGGTCCCAAATAGAAATATAGACAATTTTGGAATTTGTCTTTTGCTCCATTCTTCAGCGAAAAAGTACAATTTGGGGGTTTCTTGAACTATTAATGTGTACGTCAACCAACCTACATAAGATTTGATAAAGATTTCTTTTTCCAGGTCCCAAGCAGTGATATATATAGTTTTCGATTTTTTTGGATGTTAGGATTGCGTGGTAGAGACATCTACTCTCGAATGTTGGCTTCTTTAATTTTCTTAGCGTTTCTACAAGCTGCCGTAACTTTCACACTATTGTAACTTGAGTCTGAAGTTTACAAATGACATTAAAACACAAATACCTTACTAATGGTATTACGACTAATGTAAAACCAAACGTACTTGAAGGGCTAATCGACTGAGTAATTGAATATAAGCAATAATTAACACTAATCAAAATACTTCACTAAATAATTAGTACTGAAAAAAACATGACTGCATGCTTCACTGATTCACTACTAACTTACTGACTGGCCCACTCCTATTTATGAGTGATGTAACACTTCTCGAATTTCATCTTAGTTAAAATATGTTCATGATGTCATCTGTAACATTATAGGTCTACTTTTATAAATTTACTTGATCTTAATCACCAAGCTTTTCGATGGGTCAGAAGAAACTTTCGAATACATTTAACTGAACAGAAAACAGTTGGTTTTGTTAATACCCAATTCAGAATTAAATTTAAAACGTAGTGTGGAGCTCAGTCTTTGTTCTTTAACGGACGTTCTAAGTGTATCATATTTATTAATTTATTCTTCGATATATTATCGTTTTCGTTGTTCCTGCAAAATGTACTGTTACTGTTAGCAGTGTTAGCGTTTCTGGTGCCCTGTACAACCTGAACGAGGCGTCCTATAATAAGCATTAAAAAAAAATTAAGGACAACTTTCACAAACGTTTGATATTTTCATATATATTCACAACAATAAGAACTGATGGATGTAGTTACATAACCTTCACCTGCTCTTAATTATAAACTTCAAAACACATACCTACTGGTTTATTGGTTATGTAAGTTATACCGTTATAGCAAATATCACTCAACTATCTAATAGTAATAGTATTACACAGAACCAATATGACAGATACTGAAAGTGTACATGTCTCGGAACTACGGATAATGTAACATTAGTTTATAATAGGTTTTTATTTTTCACTATTAATTCTTATACTGCTTTTTTAGTATACAACTGAGTCAAGACAGTATATAGTTGTGAACACAATAATGAATAAAACAGAACTCGTCAAGCAACGTATGCATTGCTACCTTTACACATTTTGCTTTTATTTTAAATATTTACAAAAATGTCATAGTTTTCCGTCTTTCTTTTAGCGCAAATATTGAAGTTTTTCTTATTTTTAATGTTAACAATAGAGCGTGCGATTCAAATTAACTTACTAATTAAGTAATTATTCTTATAAAACTTAATTAAAAACACTTATTTAGCTGCAAGAGCATTACAAATTTTTCCAAGGTAAGAAAGTTTATGTATAGAAAACAGTCTGGATATAAAAACTCAACACTCCAATAACAAGAAATTCAGAACACTACAAGTTTACCGCACGTGATTTGTATCTCTTACACAATTACAAGTTACAGTTTACACTGAGTCATTTACTACGTACCTTCTGTCATTGTAAGGCACATTGTGAAGATGGTAACATTATACTACTACTATAATTCAGCATCTTCAGTCAAAAATGTATAACTTCCTCACAAAATATTTAAAATTTTGAAACACATTATCTTTGTATAATCAGAACTGTCAAACAACTTAAAACTAAAACTTTTAGTTTTACTTTTAGTCAAACAGTTGTACTCAAATACACAGTTATTCACATTTCAGATGAAAATATCATAACGAAAACAATACTTACAAATCTAAATACTGTATTACAACAGAACGTTTCAACTTCCTTACTATCTTGATAACAATAAGTTTCAAATCTGTGGTTTAATTTAATATTTGGTACCAACCGATCACTCCACCAAGCCAGACTAAACAACGCGCGGCAGCTACAAATTCGAGATCATTTTCCTACAGATGCGCGAGCGCAAGAGGAAAACGTCACGTGACCTTTGGTGTCCTTTGGCTATCGTGCTTCAGAATATATGACTAAAGGGCTTAAGTCAGATTCTGTAGTTCCCCGCATGTAGTGTTACTGCTGCCATCTTTAGCATATTTTTGACTGACTTTTCTAAACGCCCAAACCTTGACGCGAATTATCAAACATTCGAAAAATATATATTCAAATAAGAAACGTCTTCCCGTATATACGCTTGATTATGTTTCCCGTGAAAATAAAATATCCCATAGAAAAAAAGTCGTAGCTTCATAATTTTCATTTTAAATAGCGGTATTAAGTAATCAAATTTTATTTCAGGCTCCTAACCCAGTCTCTGAATGACTAATTTATATTTATTAAGATGAATTAAAATAGTCAATCATTCATAAATTGTCTTGGATCAACTGAATAATAAGTTAATGTCTATTTCAGTGATTATATTAAGTTTGTCAAATCATACTACAGTACCTTAATGACAGTATGTCTCACGAAACTCAGTCTTTACTTAAAGTAAAATATCTAAAAATAAGACGTAGCACCTCAAAAATTGTGAGTCAGAAAAACAGGTAAAAAATTATATCAACACTTTAGAGAGAAATATTAACCAGAAAAAGGTAACATAAACTTACCCTTCATCTATCAAACGTACCATGCAAACTTTCTCTGTTTATGTAGTTTGACCTATTCTCAATGATATACACATACGTAAGCATCTAATTATACTAACTGTAAGAAAATCAATATACAAGTGTTCAGCTATATCGAATCAGAGTTTTAATAAGAATTTTCAAAGCTAATTTTTAGAACATTTGATCAACAGAATGAATAGAATGCAAAGGAAATGAATCTCCACTACAAGAGACTCGAGCAATATGTTGCATTTAACTCTCACGTATTTATAGCAAATACGCCACATTTCGTGTTTCATAATAACACTATTACGAGCTCTCGAGAAGTCAAATGATACAACATAAGAGAACTTTTGTACACTTTGTTTCCTATGAAAACATTTTGTTAAATACTTTTAGGGCTTTGGGTGTCTACACATTAAAAATGTGTTGTCCTTGTTATTGTCTCCTTTCATTGAATTTAGAAAGTCTATGTCACAGTTCAAAGAAGAAAAAAGAGAAGAGTACAGAGTACCAAGAAATATTTTAGTTATTTTAGAATTTTAAAATACAAGTTTGTTTGTAGTTAAGCACAAAGCTACACAATGGGCTCTCTGTGCTATGCAAATAAAAAACCAAAACTTGCGTTTTTAGTGTTATTAGCCTACAGACTTACCACTGAGCCAGTGGGGGCTAAAATATAAAAATACGTTAGAAATAATTTAATACAATCAAATCTTTAATTATACAAGTTTGATACATATAATGCAGTATTCGGGTGGAATATGATTAATTAAATTTGATATTTTACTATTTACAAGTTGTCTTAAAAGAGACAAGCTTATATCAATTTCAAAAAAATGTAGAAGTTTTAAAAATTAATATTTTGAATGTTTTGAAAAGATTTTTGGCACTATTAAGTTTCCAATTTGTTCCACATAGATAATTATTACAATATTAAGGTCTTGGGTGTTGCTAGCTGTAAAGAGGATGCTGCTGATTTACAAAAGGATTTAGATTATTTAGTGAGTTAGGCAAATAAATGGCAGATGGGTATTAATTACAATAAATGTAAAATAATGCATGTGGGTTATCATAATTTGAAATATAAGTATAATTTGGTTGGGAATAACCTTAACAGCCTTATGAAGGAAAGGGATCTTGGTGTAATAGTCAATCAGTCTCTGAAGTCATCCAAGCAGTGTGCTGTTGCTAATTGTAGGGCAAATAAGATTTTAGGTTGTCTCTACAGAAAATCTAATACAAGTCTGAAGAGATTATAATTTCATTGTACAAGTCACTGGTTAGGCCATATTTGGAGTATTGTGTTCAGTCTTGGACTCCTTACCTCAGGTAAGACATTGAATTGTTGGAAAGGGTCCAGAGAAGGGTTACTAGAATGGTGCCTGGGATGGAGTGGTTTTCATATGAGGAAAGGCTGAAATCTCTCAAATTGTTTTCTCTTGAAAAAGAAGAGTTAGGGGGATCTCATTGAGATGTTTAAGATATTTAACAGTGAGAATAGTAGGACTAGGGGACACAAATATACGTTTTCGCAGAGTAGGAGTCATCTTTTGCTAACAATGTTTAATTTTTCTAACAGGGTGGTTGGCCTTTGGAATGTGTTGCCTTCGTAGAGGCAGTAAATTTAAGTGAGTTTAAGAAAAAGCTTGATAAGTATATGAATGATAAGGGCTGGCTTTAAGATTTTTTTTACAATTATTTTTATTTAGTTTAAAGAATGAAACAGCTGACATGGTCCCATATTGTCCTAAAACATTATTATATGTTAAATTCTACAGTAAGCTTGGGAACAGTTATTATGAGCAAATAAAAAATGCACATGGTTGATTACAAAGTTTTTACTTTACTGTACTTCTAAATAAATGGAAATTATTTTTTACTTCATAATACTTCTTTGTTCTCTTGCTATTCAAATTTTTGACACAAGTTCGCAATTTTTTAACGTTTTTGTTAAAAATACCCCTCTTTACTGATTTTTTAAGCTGAGCTGTTATAATATTAACAAACTGACAACTATAAATGAAATGGTTTTTATCTTGGTATAAAATACCAGTTCTAAATATTTTCCACATGCAATGGCTTTTATCTTGGTATAAAATACCAGTTCTAAATATTTTCCACATGCAATGGCTTTTACACAATTTTTTTTTGTCTCTTGAAGAATGATTTTTGTAACCTACTGTTATATCAGACAAAAACACATCACATTGCTTATGGATTCATCTTGACATCAAAGACCATTTAATTCTTACCTTAATTTATTCAAACTGAAATGGGAAGACAAGATAATTTATATTTGTAGCCTTTTCTTTACAAAGAACAAATCTAAATGAAATAAATAAGTAAATTAGGCTAATCAGCTCAATGATATTTTATACCTGATCTCAATTACTGGTCTTCCTGAAATCTCTACATTGAGTAGAAACTGACTTATGTGCTATATAAATAAATAAATATATAAACATAGCCTACAAACAGATATTCTATGGTACAAGGAGCACTGTAAGATACCATTATTGTACTTGAGTCATTATCAACTGAGTGTAAAAGTTCCCAAAATGAATGTCCTACCAAAACTACAATTTAGTCTGTCATATGAAAAGTTCCCAATGGGCCCACATTCAGTAGTAGGATACAAAAATAACATCTAATGTCTCTTACATTTACATCAGTCACTGAAATGTAAGAGACACAGAGCATTATTTACTATGCTAACTCATTTAAGTTTACCATTAATAACCTCAAAGCTCTGGGCAATTGCATGTAATTCAATACGTATTGCACTTAATATTTTTGTTTATTTAGTCTGCCTAACTTAAGATGTTCCAGTTGAAAAAAAAACTATAAAGAAAACTTTTCCCCTCTAATTCTAGGATTAGACTTTTTCAATTACACTATATTTGTTGGTAAATGTTCAGTGAAATAATATATAATAATGATCATATATTGAGTTCAAAGTTTTAACTTTAAATTACTTTACCTAAGAGTAAAACAGTGAAAGTTATAAGTTATTTTGTGTATATGTAAAGGTACTCATAAGTTCTATGAGTAGAAGTGAAAATGAGGCTATTCCCTTTATAGGTTATAATTTCATTGTACAGG